AAACGTGGACGAAAAACTTTTCACTTTTCTGCTATTTACGAAGAAACGGCTTGGACGATCGTCGCACAAAACTGACAAACATAGTCTTCATCGAGATGCATCGAATGGTTTTAAATTTTTGAAATCGGTCCAGCCGTTTTTTGATAAAACGGCGATTTTACGACAAAAAATCTGTTGGTGCACCGCACACACACATACTTTTTCCAAATTTGGTCTCATTCGATTCAGAATGGCTGAAACGTCGATAAAACATAAAATTAGCGAATCTATTTTTTGATGAAAACATAAACTTCTCCTTCGGGAAATTAAAAAAATAATATTTTAATATATTATTATGTATATCTAAAGATATTATTATGTCTATAATATAAATTAGTATATTCAATAATTAATATCTAAAAATCCAATTTCTATAATTCATCCTTCGTAATTTCTATAAATCATAACCTCATAATTCGTAATTTAAAATTTTTTGACATAAAATGCTCATATTTTATTATAGGTTCAGAATACAAAATTAAACTAGGCCCAAGTGTCATTTTGCCTTAAGGTAAGGACTTCTCGATATGTGTCGATAATGAATAAGAATTAAAATTTTTAGAGATGCGTCCTCATAGGTCAATCAATAGGTCCTCATTTGTCAAACTTCTCATAGATCTATAATATTTTAGGATGTCCATTTAGATTAAACAATGAACTTTATTATCACACAAATTTTCATTTAACGTTTTCTGTCCACAATTAGTTAGAAAAAAAACGACTCGGTCGATTTTACGAAAAACTAATCAATACAAAATTTTCAAAATCGATTCAAAATTTTTTGTGAAAACGGGGACGATATTTTTTACTGTTTTTTGCTACTTCTAAAGTAACAACTCGACATATTGCAAATCGTCTACAGAAGGTTAAATAACGGTTCACTTCAATAATAATACACAATTATGATGTCAAACGCTTTTATCAATTATGGTATTATCAATTCAGAATTACTTGAATCTGATAGTTTATCTGATATCTTAGGATGCATCTTATTGATAATCCACAAAAATTTGACCTTTTTAATTATATATATATAATAATATTGTATAAATCTATGATTCTTATTATTTAAAATGATAATAAATGTTAAATTATCGGTCAAACTCTATTGCCTTCAGATTGCTTACTTCTAGAATATAGTGTAGGCCCTGTATGAAATCGAGTATGCATAATATGAGGGCCGCCAACTCTCTTCAGATTCTTTTACCTGTGATACCAAATAAAGAAAAAACCCATGTTGCCAGCTTCGGTGTTGGTCGAATTTTCCTGTACCTGTCTTTTTACTTTACCCATGCCTCGTCGCAGTTATATAGTGGCTACGACATGGAGACATGGGTAAAGTAAAAAGGTAAGTACAAGGAAATTCGACCAACGCCGAAGCTGGGCTTTCTCTTTATTTGGCATCTCAGGTAAAAGAATCTGAAGCTACTTGGCGGTTCTCATATTATGCATACTCGATGCCCTATAGCGCCTAGACTAACAGGTGTTTCAAATAATATATGCCACGATGCGTATGTAATTCACCTAATGGCACACAATGAATCCGTATGAGTGCTGATTTAATTGGATTAGTATTAAGAATGGTGAACGACTAGTAATAGATGTTCAATATTCATGTTTTGAATATTTTCATGTTTTTGTAACATTTGCGACAGTTATAATTAATACTTGAACGAAGCGGTATGGCACCAAAGGCAAACGAGGAGTTAAAAGCGTTGCAAACGGAGTTGAATGAGTTATTTGAGAAAATTAAAGTTAGTAATATTTGGAATGCTAAAAAATAAAAAAAAGTTCTAATTTATCTTGTGATCTATTTCGCAGGCTGAACAAGGTAAGGTAGCGGATTGTACTTTTGAAGAAAAGTGCGGTGATGTTCCAGCATTGCCAAAAGTTAAATTGTCGACCAAACGGTTGTTGAAAGGTCATATTAACAAAGTTAATGCAGTGCATTTTAGTGATGATTCCAGGTAAATAAAATGAAATAAGTTAATTGGTAAAATAAAATTAGAAGCTTTCTCAAAATGTCAAAATGTGTTCAGTTTTCAATGGTTCAGTTTCTAAATTCGACTATAGTATATATATTTTTTCGTTAGTACTCGTTAATTAAAGTACCAAAACATAAATTACTTCTACATATTTTAAGTCTATAAATTACATATTATAAGTTTTTTATATATACAGATCGAATTCTTATATTGTTGTTTTAAAACTTTTAATTTATTTTTCTTAGAAACTGTGTTTCAGCATCATTGGATGGAAAACTAATTATTTGGGATACATGGACCAGTAATAAAATACAGAGTATGTAATATGTTTTATATAATTTAAACATTTGAGATTTTAACATTTTAACAAATAATTTATGTGTTATTGCATAGTAATACCATTACGCTCTTCATGGGTTATGAGTGTGGCTTTTGCACCTTCTGGAAAATTTGTTGGTAAGATCGTGTATTTTTATATTAAATATATTTTTCTTTCATAATCTTTATTTTATTATTTTAGCTTGTGGAGGTATGGATAATATGTGTACAATATATGATTTGGAAAATAAAGATAGCTCTGGAATCCCTAAAATGGTTAGAGAGTTGGCAGGGTAAGACCTTTTAATAATATAATTTGTTCATTTGGGGTTGTAATTATATCTATCTTGTAAACATATATTATATATTATAAATATTTTTAATGTATTCATTTATTTAGATATGAAGGATTTTTGAGCAGCTGTAGATTCCTTGATGATAAAAATATAATAACTGGATCAGGAGATGCAAAAATGTAAGTGTTAAATTTTTATATTTAGTACATTATATTATTATAAATAATGTTATTTCAACAAAAGAACCGAAAATGAAATGTTAAATGTTACCAGAAACATATTTATCGATTCATGAGAAATTTATTTAAATTAAGAGCTTTTGTATTATATAAGTTCTTCAGCGAAAAATGTTGAAATCAAGACAAACCATAGTCATATTCAATCAATACAATTGGATAGACATTGTTGTAATAACAAAAAATTATACAATTCATTCACATAGATAAGTTACGTATTACATTTCTATATGTAAAAATTGGAGATTCAGAAAGAAATAGAAGAAGAGTTGGATGGGATATTTTGCATATAAGTTGAATAAACTAGTAGTTATAGGGAACGTGTTTATGCACTTTATTATATATTTTATACCATGAATATGTAGGTAATCAATTTAATAATGAATTAACTAATAATAATGAGATGAGAAAGTCTAAGCACTACAACTTTGTGATTCTGGTTATTTAATATGTTTATAGAGGATATATTAACGTCTACAAACGGCTAATTGCTGAGTCCATAGACCTTATACTACATGGACTGCTAGTACTCAAATGTTTTGTCTGTTAAAAAGTGTCAAAACATAAGAAGCAATTGTGATGTCACCGGGTGAACGAACGTTACCGAGAACCGTCGAAAACTCTCGTTTGCTTGAATGCCATAATAGTTACCATGGTTACATGATGCGTAGAAAGTATTCGAGCATGAGCTCATGAGCTCACATAGCAATCGAGAGTATACGACGGTTCTCGGCAACGCTCCTTCACCCGGTGACGTCACAGTCGCCTTTAATATTTTGACACTCTTTTTGTCAAAAAAGGTTAGTAGTCCATGTATTATAAGGTCTATGGCTGAGCCACATATTACAAATTATATGAAAATATTAATTGCTATCAATCTTTTAATTTTAGTTGTAAATGGGACTTGGAAACTGGTCGCAAAACTGGTGAATATTTGGGCCACACAGGAGGAGTTGCTTGCATATCATTGGCTTCGACCGGCTGCTACGTTACGGGTAGTGCTGATAGCACTTGCCGTTTGTGGGACTTGCGCCAACCCAAAATGGCAAATTGCTTTTTTGGCCACTCGGCTGATGTTAATGGAATTTGTGTGAGTAATAAATTAACTCAACATGTGGTGCATGGCATCGTGCCTTAAGGCAAATTGCTGGAACTTCTGGTACCAAAAACTAAATTTAAAAACAAACTTTGAAATTAGATATTTGAGAAATTTTGAAATATTTGAATGTTTATTTGGCAAAATTTGAAATTATTGAATTTAGATTTGTTTTTTGAAAATCATGAATATTTTTTTAAAGCAATCACGTTCAGAAACTTCTGTGACGTAAAAACATATAAAAATTTTCATGTTCAATTTTTTTGCAATTACTACAATCAACTTACCCTACCGGAAGTTAATAAAATTCATAAAACCATATAGTTTAAAACATTCTTCATTTCAAAAACTATTATGTCTAACGTGCAATTGATATATTTCTAATCAACTTTAAATTTTTTAAATTTCATTAGAGGGACAAAATCTTTGATATAATTCAATCTGAAACCATATTATATATTTTTTTCGAAGTTACAACCTGACAGAATTTCACATAAAACTATTCCATATCAACAGTAAAATACCTATGTGACATTTGAAATTTTAAAAATAGTTTAGATATTTTTAACTAATTTAATTACGAAAAAACAGCTGTACGTCTTTGACCGTAATGAGCAGCTGATCAATTCGAGTTTCAAACGATTTCAAATTTTGAAAGTCATTTAATTTAATTTTTAAATATATCGAATTTGAATGATTATCACCTCTAATCGACGCGTGCCTTAATTTTATCAATTATCCTTTATGTGTTTAGGCTTTATAAGCCAAAACGGCTTATGTTTTTAAAATCGGTACAGCTTTTTTCGGCAGAACGACAACGAAAGCAAAGTTTGCTTAAATATGCACAAATACTTTTTCCAATTATGGAGGCAAACAATTCAGTATGACTCAAAAGTTTACCGACAATAAACTTTTCATCAGAATCGTTTATTATACATAAGTAATATATTTCAGTTTCATCCAAATGAACAAGCATTTGTATCGGCATCCGAAGATAAATCTTCTATCCTCTTTGATGTAAGATCAGACCAGCAACTAACAAAAATATCTTCTACAAATCCAAATGCTGGATTCACATCGTGTGGTAAATTATAAACACTTAAACTTAGATTTTTATATAATTGCACTGTAACAAATATTTTATCTTCAGCTGTGTCTCTAAGTGGTCGTATTGCACTTTGTGGATCAATCGATAAAAGTATTCATATGTGGGATCTGTTAAAAGGGCAGACCATGGGTAACTATTTGTGATTCATTTTTATCTTTTGAAACTATATGTAATATTTAAATATTAATTATCATGAGCATTTTAGGTACATTATCGGGTCACGAAAATAGAGTGACATCAGTTTCTTTATCAAAGAATGGAATGGCTTTAGCGTCTTGTAGCTGGGATCAAAACGTGCGAATTTGGCTCACCGCATAAAAAAGTTTTTGTTAGCAAATATTTTTTTTAAATTGGAACATTGTACAGAAAAATTTCAATTAAATGTAAAATTTGAAATTTATATTTCTTGTATGATGAAGCTGTATTTCATGTTTTTGAAACAATAAATCATTTTAGATGATTTTATTTTATAGAGCAAATTTTGATTACAATTCAAAATCAATATGCAAACTAGTAGTGCACGGCATCGCGCCTTAAAACAAATTGCTGGAACTTTTTATTCCGCAATGAAATATTCGAAGAATATTAAATGTTTCCTATTATATTATTATAAATATTATAACTTTTATTATTCGTATTTTATAGACTAAGTAGAATAGGTTATAAATTGGACGATGACGTTTATTCAAGATTACAGGAAAAGAGAATACACAAAACTTAATCAAGCGGAGATAGAATGAAGGACCTTATCTCATATTTTTGAAATTTATATGAACTGGAATGCAAAGTTCAAATTATTTTTTTCAAGTATGTAAGTGAGTTTAGGAATTTTAGCTAAAATTAAAATTAAAATCCGAATTATTTTCAATATTCAAAAAAAAAATTTTTCGAAAATTAAAAAAAAATAGAAAAATTGTAATACTGTCCGTAAAAAAAATCGTTTCGTCAACACAAGCAAAAGGTTTATTGAATTATTCAATTCAGATCTTTCAAAACTGCCATTTTTGGCACATTTAGCTCAGAATCTCTAAAACGGCTGGACCCGTCTTTGCCAAAAACTAATCACCACTTCTCCCCATTATTACGAATTGAATATATTTTGAATCATTCGAATCGGATGCTCCGTACTCTCAAAAACTCGATTTCTATTTTCTGCACTCAACTTTGTATCACAATTATGAAATTTAATATAATTCAATATTTTTTGCAATTGTAGTTTTTGAAATATTATTTTATTAAGTTTTTATTTTCAATATTCAATATTAATTTATATATGCCGAAAACTATAAAGTGACTTATAATGATGAGAAGAATTTCTAATCAGTAAAAGTATAGATGCATTTTGTTTATAGCTCAAGATTATATTTGACACTGATTTATAATTCAATGTGTCTAATATGTAGCACTTATTATTTTCAGAGAAAAGTATGCCCATGCATGGTACAAGAGAAAGTTTGATGAAATAACTTACCCTACGGGAAGTTAAGTAGACGTGACTAAACTTTTTTATCATGCTATATATATTTTAGTAATATGATATTCTTACTGAACATTAACGCATATGAATTTTTTTTTTATAATTTTATTTGAACAGCGATCAGAACTTATGGGTTCTATGAGCTGTTGTGAGTAATATCTTACAAACTGCGTTTGTTTCATTACAGATGGCAACCCAAACAGTTGTCACATCTCTGTATGATAAATTTTTATTACAATCTCTGTAATAGGGCAAGTATGGTGCAACAATGCCGGGTGAGGGCTATTTTTACTTGGAAACATATTGCTATCTATACTTCCAAGTGAAAATCGTTGTCAATGTTGCCTGACGACAGGCTGCTCGAAGTGGGTATCGAACCCGGAATCTCTGAAATAAGTCCCGTCGCTCTTAACCGCTTACTCACGGACGAGCCCTCCTATGAATATGAATATATTATATTTTAAAGTTTTGGATTTAATGGACTACTTTGATTCCCATAATATGAATTCATTAGATTTCTCATTTTCAAATAATTTTACCGTTTCTTTATGTCTAAACTGCGCAATGCCACGCCTGCTTGTTGGCAACACTTATCTTTTACCTATATAACACTGTACAATTTGACATGAGTCAGGGGAACTGTCAAAACATGTTTTGATTTTATTGACCGTGTATTTTCAATACAAACTAAACATGTGTTAATATTCTAAATTTAGCTAAATTACTAGGGTATTTAAATTATGGCATTTCACGCGAGATGCGGCGAATGCATCACCCTTTCAAATAACAATTGTACAGCCGCACGAAATATTAGTGAATTTAACCATGGATTAGTTTTAAGCGCAGAACCTCTAAAAGACGATGTTCTGTTTGAAGTCCGTATTGACAAAAAAGTAATTGTTCATATTATACATCTAGAGCAATGCCTATTCCTAAATATTATTATTTACCACTATTTACCAAATTCAGGTTAATTCTTGGTGCGGTAGTATAGACATTGGCGTCACGGCCTCCAATCCAGATACATTAGATTTTCCTGCATGTGCAACAAAATTGCGAAATGGCTCATGGGTGAACACAAATACTAAGTTCTATCTAAAAATATATCATCAAAGCAGAATTGACCTAGTTTGAAAATTTCAGATTATGTCTGGTGAGTCTGTTTTAAAGGATGGCAGTTTTGTTGCTGAGTTTTATGGGAAAGACTTAGAAAAATTACATGAGGGAAATACAGTGGGTGTTATGCGAACTAGTCAAGTATGCCTTTCTTCATATATAAAGTATGTACAGTTAAATAACTATAAACTAACAATGATCTAATTGTTTTCAGTCTGAATTAATATTTTATATTAATGGTGAATCTCAAGGTCCCGCTGCTTTTAACATACCTCATGTAGTTTACGCTGTAATAGATCTGTTTGGAAAATGTGTGCAAGTAACATATATGAGAGGCACTAACACACAACCTGTATGTAAAATACCATCCTACCACTTTAATTCAGTACTGCTATTGTTTATATTGTGTATTGTGTATTTGCAGGAACATAATAATGACTCTAGTGTTTATCTAAGTACTCCCCTTACAGTAACAAATACTGTATGTCCAGCAACTATTACGAGTTCCGATCCAAATGACAGACTCCATTTTCACCAAAGATGTGGTTCGATGATTCGACTAAGTGATAATGCAAGGTTTGAAATATCAATTAACAAAAGCTTAACTTATCCTAAATATTAATTTTGATATCTTAATTATATGCTAAATGGCATTTCAACTCGATATTGAATTAATAATGCTTTTTTTTTCTATACATGAATTCTTGTAACTATTCTTGTAATATTGTAATTGTTTTTTATTGAAATGGTATTTTATATTTATTTGTACAACTAGATAACCCGACAGACGTTGTCCTGTATCCATGTCTGCAATTTTTTTAATATAATATACTATTATTTACGGTTTACCTAAAAATAATATTTATTGTTTTTTAAATTACTCTTTACACCAAAATGCATATTCATTTATAATATGAGCGATTTTAAATGTAGAACTGCATTAAATAAAATGATGAGTCTCAATTCCCACACTATATTGGAAATTGAACTCTTTTAAACGGTATAACATAACCATAACATAACACTTGTACTTTATGTTGGATTAAATTAATCTAATTTTTTATTATTTAAGATATCCAAAATTGCATCTTAAACTTCTTTTAATCGATATTGTGAAGGCCGAATTGTATGTATTCATCTTTACTTTCCCATTTGTTGTTATAAAATGAAATTTTTACGAATTTTAATAATATTGTGGAAAGATTAGTAAAAGATGTAAGAAATTATATATTGAAAAAAAACTATATTGAAAATTTAATATCAGAATCTAGTGTTGGTGCCCCCTAAGGCGTGCGCTCGTATTTTTCGCATGCATCGCATTAAAGGTAGGACCGGCCCTGATTAATACTTAATTTCATATTTTAAGTGAATTATATTTGTCATATCCTGTTCATACTTGTACACATATACTGTATTTTGTATTATTTTAATTTCTGGCACATCTCAGCTGCTTTTTGACAATAATAATATAGACATTTTATTTTTCTTATTCGTAATCATAAATTTATTATACATATTCTAATATTGTCTAGGTTCATGAGTAAATTGAAATTTTTGGCAGATGATAGTTTTCATTTGTTTTTAATGCAAACAATGACCTGTCGTTTTTTACATTTTTTTCATTTATTTCTACAATATTGCACATACATCCCACTTCTTCATAATCACATACGTCCTAGTAAATTTCCTTAAGAAACTTCAGAAAGATTTATCAAAATCCACATAATCGTTTAGAAGGAGTATACTGTGAGTGCTTGTAATTTAATATGAACTTTATATAATAGCAATAAAGCTCAAATTTATTCTACTACTATTGATGGAAAACGTTTGTATGAGAAAAGAAAAGGATGTTTGTTTTTAGGATTCTCCCGGCAATTCATCGATTTTTTCTCGGCTTAAGAACCATCCTTGGACTTCAACGAACATTTTAAAAAAAGAATTGGCCAAATTGGTCTAGTTGAGCTATGCGCTTACAACACATTTTGCGATTCATTTTTATATATAAGTAGATATATTTTAAGCTATGAAGATTCCATCATATTCATAATGAAAGTAGCAAAGATTACAATGTTCTAATTTGAATATATTTTATTTAAATAAATTCTGAAATACCAGTTACATCTTTTCTAATGCAACGTTCTAATTTAAAAATATTTTATTTAATTAAATACTGAAATGGTAGTAACATTATTTCTATTGTATTTTATATTAACTAATTATTTCATTTCTAACTGCTTTATTATCAATTATTTTATTTGTGTCGCTTATTTTTGTTAACTGCTATGTATATCGTATCCGCAAATACAGATGAAATTTGCTAAATATGTACTGTTATTTTTTAAAACGTATGATATAATATCTAGTTCAAACATACTTTTATCATTGGACTTGTAATTTACTCCTGAATGTCATCTGTTTATTTGTAATCTACGAAGTACACATTAAATAATTTTCTAATTATGATGTTAAATATTTACTCATGCTACAGTTAACTTCTTACACATAAATAAGTTTAACTGTGATGCATAGTGCTACATTAAAACTTCTCATAACATTATTTCAAATAATTCATACAGCACAAAGTAAACACAATTTTTTTTTTTTTAACAAATCTAATATCCATCTTATATATATTATAAATTTGTGAATGAAGATATAGAATTTAAATAGCTTTTATTCATTATGTTAACATGTATTTAAATATTTCATTATTTTAGGACTGCTG